AATATGGAATTAAATTACTGGATTCGTTTTTCTCCCTTTCATCGCTTTCTTGTTCCCCGAAAAGCTAATGTAAAATACAATTTTAACGGCATTTATACGATTTTCAGTACAACAGGGTTTTTTAGGTAGCAGATTTCAAATCTAGGACTGGTTTGTCTCCGTGAGGGCATTAAAAGACGACTTTAAGGTCATATCAAAAGACGCCGAAGGGGCCAATGTTCATTCCGTTAGCGAAAGGGAAACTTGATGGAAAAAATAGAAAATGATGTTCAAACCTAAAAAAATTAAAGCGAGACATTTTTTCCTAGCATGACCCGTATACTCGAATATAGCAGCCCATTTCACACACTCTCACCAAATAATTTATCCACCAAACATTTTTCTATATTTCTTGGACTATATTTGTATATAGAGCCAATATCCCTATATAGTTAAGAAGTACATATTAGCTGGTGCTTATATAAAATATTGATTTACTTTATATTATACATTTTTCTCTTGTTGACTGATTCGTCCTGCCTATTTAGCCAAGAAGCTGATGGTTTCAGTCTTTAAGAAAAATATCCGCATTTTCTATTTACTCGTATAAGGCTGGGCTCACTTTAGCCACATAGAAAATGGGTCTATTGTACGTCATCACTCTAGGTAACAACTGAATATGTCATACTCGTGCACCTTCAAAGTCATAAGTCTAAGCTGCGCTACATAGTTAAGTGACCAGTTTCGTAGCTAAGAAGCTTACTCCCTAAGAAGCCACGATATACTCGTATATAACCCTGTACCGGATTACGACTATGGACTGATTGCATGAGGCTGTTTGAGTGACGTGGTCCATTTAATTCCTTTGTTGTACATGTTCAGAAGTGTAGGGTTAATATACTCGACGCCATTTTTTTGTTTTCTCAAGAAATTTTGATAATTTATTCATAGGAAGTCACTTACTTTTACTTTTTCTTGTGCACCGCTTTGTACAATTTTATGAGCACACACATCACTCTTTGCCCCTACCTGGAAACTATTCTTACTGGTTTTGTGTAGTAAGACCAAGAAAGTTCAGAGAAGTATTGCATCAACTTTTTTCAAAAAAACTGTGATTAATTTTCTATGCAAGTTACACGGATACATCGTAAAACAATATCTGTGACGCCCGTATGTGTCGCTGCATGGGTTGTACATGATAAATTATACATGAACAAAGTAACAAAGTCCCGAATTTCTCCAAACTTTTATCGTCAACGTATACATACACCGAACTACACACACAAAACACAAGCAGCGTTTTGTACGTACCATCTAGATAGCCCAGTTTAATAAATAACGTATGACACTATCTGAATCGGAAAGTCGCCTTATTCTGATAGCCCAGGGGAAATACAGCATAGGTCGGCAAGATATAACAACACAATGCGTTGACAAAAACGACGCATGACTGAAAACAAGAATAAAGGATGAGAGATGACCGACGTCGTCATTTTTGAATACGAGTATCTGGGATGTTTATATCATAAGCTTTCACGGTAGATGTACCAGTCGTGATTCGTGATTTAGAAATATCAGTTACTGAATCACAGTTCGTGTAACATCTGCTACTACGATACAGGATAGATGCCATCTACATGAATTGTAAAAAACTTATTGTACTAGAAGTATTCTTCGCAATTCAAGGGATTCTTATTCATTTTAGTGTTTACACTACCTCAAATTGTGATATAGCTTGGATACAAACAAGTGCAAAAGCGCCTGACAAGTCTGTCACAGAGAATAACAATGGTGTATGTTGTTCTTATCTCGAACTCTTATTTTTAGAGATATAGGGTCACATTTATAGACGTTTATGGATTTAACATTTGTATTTCACAGTAGGCTCTGACAGGTTATCAAAAATTGAAAAATCATCAAAATTCGAACGATATTTGACATTTTAGATTTTTTCAAAGGTCTCTAATTCTTCAAAACTTTCGTATGATTTTTGACTGCTCGATGCCAGTCCTTTACTGGAAAGTCTCAGAGCCTCTCGCACAGGCGCCGACAGGCGGTCTACCGCTATGTCAGAGAGCATTGCTCCTCAGAATTCTCAGGCTTCTGTCTCTCATCTTAACTACATCGAGCTTCGTATATCCAGAAGTGGCCGGTAAGTTCGCTCCGTTATTTCTTAGGTGTCAGGATTGTGAACTGTCTGCCTGAGGAGTACTCTCCCAGTTTTGCTAACCTTAGATGGTTGAAAAATATAGCAGTCGTGGTGTCTCGGTGTCTTAGGTGTCTGCCTAAGCTCCATATCACGATACTTCAGTACATTTTGACGTCTAGTGAGGTAAACATTTGATCAGCAAGTGACATATTTGTATTTAAGCCTGTTAACGTAATTAAAAACTGCTTATTGTTCTATTCCTACTTGAGTTGAAGTATAGAAGTGATCATAAACAATTGTACTCCTTTGTTTTTACTTTTCTAAATAAAAGCGTTATCAAAAAGTATTGGGTATTTTGAATGTTACTAGATAATCAGCTGTCACGTTTGACATAATGGAATATCGTGATATAAACGCGGCTGCATCATTACAAAAAAAAAACTCGAGCCTCTTGATAATAGTATGGCCATTTCGTCCTGACCTATAACTGAGACGGGATCAGTGTTGAATCTAAATTTCAAAGAATAACAGAGGATCACAACATGGTTCCATCGAAGAGGCATTATTGAATAATCCATCAAGTCGGCTGTCAGATGCCGTAATTGAACAAAACACGCTCAATTAAAATTAATTTATGCTACGTAGGATTATTGTCAGGATAAACTGAAATACAATGAACCGTTCGGAGACCGGTGGACTAAAAAAAGAGTAGAACTGTGTTTGGATGGTTAGTTATTGTGACGAGATGCTTGATTAGCGGATATTTGAAAAGCGAATCGAATAGACTACGTTGGAAACAACAGCCAACCATCAAAAAAATGAACGGAGTGGAGGACATTATAGAAAAAAGTGTAAAGCGTTCGCTAATCTTTGCATAACCCAAACACTGACTAAGTTTGATTTGAACAATACAGGTGTGTAGTTCCCGAACGCATTCTAAATGAACGATTCTCATCACTGAGCTAAATTAACTAGTTCATCATTCCTCGAAAAAAGCGCTCATCTGTTGATCATGAGCAAGTATACTATCTATCCAATGGTGGAGACAGTGTATCGAACACCATAAGTGAGGTCAGGTTTACTCGCAAGTAAATACAAAAGCAAGCTGGGCGCAACAAAAATAAGGAAATTGATTAAGTATGGTGTATTTTGTTGAAAAATGGAACAACATATTTCGTTGAGTGTTGTGTCTGTAAAAAAGCTTAGTTAAATATTGCTTGAAGTCGCACAGGTAAATTAACTTTTGTCGTATTGTGATATGCGACTATCCACGCAGTATTGTACCATTTTAGGGCGTAATAAAACTTCTTGGATTTTGCAATGAAATGGAAATAGATCACTCTAGAATAGCCATACTTACCTTAAAGTTGCTGCTGATTCCGGCTTCATCACCACCGTTAGAAATTGTGTTTTCGATATGGTCATTAATTCATACGTCAATACAAATCCGATTGACATTCTATAGATTCAAAAAGCTGATGACTGTTTGTTTTTATAACCATGGCATCGCGGCTGCTATGAGGAGTTTAAATAAACTTTGTTAACTCGATGTTTGCCCTGCGTAATACTAGTAGAACTAGGAAAAGTCTTCTAAGGTAGATTGTTCCTCAATTTTATACTCTAGGGTGGTAGGAGCTGTCATATCTGTCAGTTCTGGATGCACGTTGTCTGCATTGTTTATGTTGTCTGTATGTATATCAAGACCTATATAATTACGATTGTATACATCACTGTAAGAGAGAACCAACGAAGAACGTAGTTTAGTTCAAGGAAAGACACCAATTTCTACATTGTTCATTATGTGTTTGGGCACCTCCATATAATAGGTCATGATTGAATGTAACCACCGTTTCCTCAAGTCTCTATGTGAAAGTTAGGCAACGTTATTTAACTAATTACAAATTATCGATGATAGATGCAAGGTGCTCAGAATCGCCTTATTTTAATTAGACTAGTTAAATTAGATAAGTAAGTATGTTGAAGTCATAAAAATATCGCATACTTTAATGAAACAGCTTAGAATTGCGAACAAAATTTAAACTAAAGGTATTTATTACGCAGGCCCGCAAAATAAAAGTAGTGGTGTATGCTTCGAGTCCGACAATGTTTATCTTATGTACTTTTTCACGCTGAACACGGATCTTAACTCAACATTGTGGGACGGTGGACAAATTTTGGAGACAATGAATAAAAACGATTCGCAGGTCAAAAAAAAAGTGGTGAGTTGTGGATGTCTCACTGCATTTTCTCCATGTTTTCACATTCGAACGGGCATTTGAATTCAAAAATGAGAAACGGTGGACCAATATGAAGTAATCCAGACAACAGATTAAAAGAATTTGGGATGCACATCCTCTAAGAATGCCAAGATGTGCGATCTTAATACCTCAATCACTTTCTTCTTTGTCTGTCGACCCACAATTTTGATTTAGATTCATGCTTAGCGTGAAAAAATGTATGCAAAAAGCAATGGGACTTCAAACATAAATCACTTTCTTCGCTTTGGGGGCCTGAGCTGTCTGTTAAAAACCTTCAAGTCGTTGCAACAAAAGGCAAACGTGTACCCCATATTATTTGAGATTGCTAGTAAACGAGCGACAGGTCATGTGAAATGTTAATACTTGAAATATTCATCTTAATAAAAAACTGAAAAATCAAAAATTTAAACGACAATACGCGGTGGTTCGAAGTAATCACCCATTCTAGTATTAACCGCTCCCGGCGCTGCTCAGCTCCGGCAATCCGACGAGTGGCGACGTTCTTGCATAAGAAAGTTCGATCGCGAACTGGTTCCCAGAAGTAGTTCGTCTTAGTAAACGTGACTTATTGAAGTAACTCACCGAACTGAACTAGAAACCACATCACCATAGAACAAGCACTTATTAGGTAGGTGTCAATTTGTTGTCATGTTTAAAGTGAGCAAATTAGATAGCTGTACAAAAAAAAGAAACGGATAAAACAAAGGTAATTCGTCTAATAAATACGCTGATTAGATGGATACAGATAGGAACTAAGTACTTATAAACGCAGCTATTTCTAGATATACAACTTAGTGATTCTTTCAATACTACACAAACACAGCCATGGCTTTCCATAGAATAGCTCTATTGTTGGCTTTCGCTTTCATAGGTGAGTTTACTCAAGGCTTTAATTGATTTTGCAGTAATGTAGAGATTTGCCTCTAGGCGCACCTTTTATTTTCCACGTCAACTGGCAAGCTAGTATTGTTTTCACAAAGGATTTTGAAAATGAGATGTTATTTTGAGGTTACATGTACAACACAAAAACGTGATAGACCATCTGCTAATGCCTCCGTATCTTGAATTTTCATCAAATATTGACTCAAGTTTACTACTACGCCAAGGATGAAAAGGCTTTGCAGTAGCGTGGGAGCTAGTGACACAAAACAAAAAAAAAGAAATAAAATTTTCAATTTTTGTGAGACTCCTGCTCCTTGCTAGATCTCCATTTTTTTCTTCCCTCCCGAAATATCTCCGTACATTTACTTTTAAAACGTACACAGAGAAAAAGATTCGCAGCACATGCATGCAACAGACATAGGAAGATATATCTGAGTTAAGGACTCACCGCTAGCATGAGTTGTTTAGCCATAGCAATGCCAGATATTCGTACTGTCGGTAGAGCAAGTGACAAATTTCCAGATTGCGACGTTGTCATATGCGTGGATACTAGGGAGTAAATGCATGGAGCTGTTTGACTAACTTGATCCACTAAATTTTTTTGTTATTCAGCTAGCTTTTTTCTCAGAGAGATCAACATATGCCAGACATAATCTTTTATCAACTGATCATATGTGTGGAAAGTATAGAACCAACGTACTTGACGTCATCTTTTTGGGGATAAGAGTGACCTTAACACGAATTTGTCTTTTTAGCTGTTGCATCAGTGAATAGCACCAAATGCTACAAATGCAATTCACTGTCTTGGGAAGGATGTTCAGAGCCTCAGGATCCTAAGTACCATACCTTTGAATGCAGTACGCCAAAAGAAGATCCGGCATGTGTACAAATCACTTTTGTCCGAAGCAAGTATTTTTACCTCCATTAGGTATAGTTTAAGAAATGGAAGATGGAAGAAATTTCTTTATGGCTCTCTCACCAGCTATTGCAAATCAGCAACTGTCCAAAGAAAACAAAGTTTCGTTGCTCGTAAGCTTTGAACATCAAAAGCAAAGCTCGAATCCAATTTTAAGTTATAGTAATACTATATTAAATATTTGGCATGACATTATAGAAGCTGGAATTTTTTGCATCTAGGTGGATTAGGAAAATATTTCAAACAAGATTTTCCTAATTTAAAGGCAAAGAATACATCTAATTCATGGAAAGATTAAGTTTATAGCCGACTTGGGATATGATATGTCTTTAAGGATATGTGGAAAAGATTGTATTATTTATAAATTATTTTTTAGCTGGAACGCAGGGAACTGCAAGAGGTTGCATTGCGACAGGCTTGACGTGTGACGACCTTAAGAAAAAACTAGGTTTATTTAATATAGAACTGAAAGACTGCAAGATTTGTAAGGAAGACCTTTGCAATGGTCAATAGTTCTGTAATCCTTATCAAATAAGCAAAATAAATGGTTTGGTTGCACAGTGGTTTAGAACACCAAAAAAACTGGCAAAATGTAAGATTTCTGAATCACTTAGCACCACAGGGTTATTAAAATCGCTGTTTTCAAGACTGAAGCTAGTTTGCCTCTATAAGGACATTTGAAGGTTAATTCAAAGTCATATCAAGGACATTTCAAAAAAAGCCGAGCAGTTGAGCTTAACCGTGTGTCATTTAAGTTTTTCTGGTTACTAAGTCCGAACCAGGTTGTTTGAGGGTCACTTCTAGGTGACTTCTAGGGCAAATTCAAAATTAGTCCAGCATTCCAATCCAGGTTCGTGTCATAGTTTTCGCGGTAGTTGATCCAAAATCCGAGATTACTTTGTCTGTAGGTAGATATCTTGAGGCCACTAACAATAAAAAATTCAAAAAATTTTAATAAGCGTTGCCGACCACCTTCCATAATATGGCAATACATAAAGTCATATTTCTCAATAGCTCTCACAAACATCATGTATACCAATTTGGGGCAAAGGGCGGGGGCCCATCAAAAACCTCTCTGAATTATACTATATTACTTGAGTGAAGCTAAAAATAGTAATCTGTTCCATTCACGGTGTATAACAATAATAGTGTCGGATCTCTCTTACGTCAAATGAAAGTTCGTACCAGCTTGAGTATGATCCATATTACTGAGAACCAAATTTGTCTGACGGTTTGAGTTCAATGTGTTCGAGAGAGAAGTGTCTATAGACACATATGTTAGAAAGAGATAGAAGCCGGCTGGATAGCGAAGCTCATCACCACGTCGCCTAGCAATACTGACGCGGCAATTTGCCGCCTAAATTATGATTTAATTTTGAGCGTACAAATTTTTGAGCCGCGAACTGCGTCGAATCTGTTCAGGGTCGATTCAGGATCGGTCCTAACGGCACTTCATTTCAGGTCGAAATGAAAGGTCAGTATCGCCCAAAATTCGACAACATTGCACCATTGGTTCGCTTGGCAACACCGTATCTCGTACATTACAAGGCAAGGCTTCTACCTCCATGATCATAGATCCATCTAGCGCTCATTGAGGAGTGTAGTCCAGCTTCCAAATGTTTTTCACCTACGTACATGCAGGCAGTGATAATTTATTTGTATTACGTAATGTTATTTGTTACATTTTTCGACCGCTCGTTGTAGCAACATGTAACAATAACTCAGGATGTGTTGATTTTATCAGCATCGGTGGAAATCAAAGATGATTCTAAAATAAATTGCAACACTGAGTCGCATCAAAACTGAAACAAATAACTCTAAAATGAAAACAAAATATTAAATGAAATGTTCGAACAGGCCTCCTTCCTGGATTTGAGAGTAACCTAACCTATTGCAGAAGCCTGTGCAAACATTTTTTGGTGAAAAATATTCTGCGTTAGCGTTGCTAGGCAGTGTGGTGATTACCTTCGCTCTTCAGCAGCTTCTATCTCTTTCTAACATGTGTTGATACACACTTCTCGCGCTTCTCTCTCGTACACATTGACCTCAAGCCATCAGAAAAATTTGATTTTCACTGTATATAGTTTCAACACACAATACAAAGGATGATACACAAACTATAGCCGTTAAGAATGGTGTCGAGTCATACACCACAAGTTTCAAGTTTAATGGTCTGCCATGGTAAATATAGTGTCAGCACGTAAATGTAGTGTCATCACATTTCTAATTCCATCGCTAAACGATTCAAAATACGGAATAATTTTCATCTGTCTCCGATAATGCGTATCTAAACGTGTCACACTGTGATGCATGAAGCGAATGTCAGCTAGTTCAGAGATGACAACAGAAAACCTACATAATGTCATGAAAAGTCGATACGTCACCTTTCGTGCTACGTAAAACGGGTGTCGTACTATTAGTACTCACTAATGGTTCCGTCAGTGTCTTTAGATTGCTAAGCAACCGTATATATCAATACATACAGATGTTCCGGCTAAATGGTCAATTTCATGTTAAACACGTTACAGTGGCTTCGTGAGCATTGCGAGTGATATGGCAATGGCAATAACGTTAGTTAGATAATTACTGAGTTCGCGAGACGTTTAAATAGGACATCATCCTGTATGAATAAACAACAAAAGAGTCTCAAAAGTAAGTCACACCTATTTCCCGTAGAAAAACAAACTCCCCCGGAAAGACCGATAGTCCTCTGTTTTGTGGCTTGATGCCCACATTTCTGTGACAATAAAAGAGGACGTAACTGTCTGAAGCCGGTACCTTCTCCAGCGAACAGTATATGCAACTGGTGGAATTCACGTTTCAGAGCGGTGTTTACAACTTTTGTATAGCTGTCATAAAGCGCCGCTTCCCGCCGTTTCCGGTTACGGTTTTGACAAATGCGCATCGCCACGGCCGCCAAGCCTCCTTGATTAAATTCGTTTTTATTTTTGTCGGAAGGCGATAAAAGCGACAAAGATGGTCTATAGTGTATGAGGTTGTAGGCTCTAAGGTCCTGTACTTTTTTCGTATTCAGCAGCTGAGCTGGAGGTTTTAGGTACTGCACACTACGCACACTCTACCGTATACTACAACTATTTAAAACTGTAATGACTCATACGCGTGATCAACACGTGATCAGAGCTCGATCCCGGCTTCCTTCCAGTACAGCCGTATAGCGTACGACATATGTCGTTTCTGTGGTTTTGCGGTGGTCAACAGCACAGACAAAGATGGAAATAATGGCCGATTGTTCTCCGCCGGTAGAACCAATGAAATAAAAGACGCGCCTCGACCGGCAGACTCATAGGCGTCGGCAACGCATTGGAACGTGTTTCGTTGAGCGATCGCATATTGTGTGTTTTTATAAGAATTGTTGTGTGATTGTTACTGTTGTGGTTTCTGTGGTTACTGTTTTGGTTATACTTAACCATGGAGAGTACAAATGGCACGAGTGGAAGTACTGAAAGCCAGGGAACAAGTAGACGGCTTCGTAAAGCACTGAAGAGGGACGCGAAAGAAATCGTGCTCAACGTGTTCAATTATCTGAACAGAACTATGTCGCAGGGAGATGCGCTCGCGCGTTGTGAAAGTATGACAGGCGTTCCAGAGTGGACCATTCGCAGGGTGGTGCATGAAAAGAAGAAAACTGGAGCTACTACTGATCCAAAGTTTATTTTGAAGGGACGAAAGGCCGTTAAATTGGATGACGATAGCAAAATGGCGTTAAGGCACATTCATTCTTCTTTAGGAATGAGATACCAACCCTCAAGGCTGTACATGCAGCGATCAAGGAAAATGAAATTATACCCCAAATGAGCGTCGAGGTAATGAGGAAATCCCTGCACGAAATTAATTTTCGTTACGAAACGCGTAATCGGAGGTCAGTACTGATAGAGACCTGAAATAGTCGCCTGGCGTCGAAAATACCTACGCGAAATGATTGAATATAGGCGACAAAGCAGAAAAATCTATTATTTGGACGAGACATGGGTAAATGCAGGTCACACAGTTAAAAAAAACCTGGATAGACAAAAACGTAGTGAGTAACCGACAAGAAAGCATTGAAGGTTTGTTAACAGGTCTTCGTGGACCGTCGGGGAAAGGTCAAAGATTGATCGTAACTCATATTGATAGCGATAGTGGCTTTTTAGAAGAGTGTGACTTGATTTTCGTCTCTAAGAAAGGAGGTGATTACCATGACGGAAAGAATGCCAGCTGCTTCGAGAGCTGGTTTCAAGGGGTGCTTCAGCGAGTTGAGCCCAACTCTGTGATCGTCATGGATAATGCTTCCTACCATAGTCGTCGAGCCGAACGTGTACCGACTATGGGATCTCGAAAAAGTGGCATGCAGCAATGGTTGCGCGAAAAAGGAATCCCGTTTGACGATTCATGTGTGAAAGCGGAATTGTATGAAAAAGTTAAACAGCACAAACCTGCGAACATTAGTTACGTGACTGATGAGATGGCCCGTCAATGTGGTGTCACTGTGCTGCGGTTACCGCTCTACCACTGTGAACTCAACCCAATAGAGCTCATCTGGGCTCAAGTTAAGGGTTATATTGCGTGCCATAACACAACCTTCAAATTACCAGACGTTAAGGTTTTACTTGAGACTTCCAAACAGCTAGTAATGCCCGAAGATTGGCAGAATGCTATCCGTCATGTTGTGAAGGAAGAAACAAAAATGTGGCAGCTTGACCACCACATCGACACCATCATAGAGCCAGTTATAGTCAATTTCAACGAGGAAAGCGATAGCGACAGTTTATTACTGTCAGATGTAAGTGGAAGCGACGATGAATAAAGGTAATTCCCAAATTTTTGACTTACAATATGTTTCAAACCACTCTTTATTAAGCATGTGACAAATCTAGTTCACCCATGTTAAACATTCATACCCCGCCTATGAACAGCCGACTACTGGCAGTTAAGTGATGTTCACGTGAACATCGATGAGTCATTACAGTTTTAGATAGTTATAGTATATCACAAAATGGCAAAACCCATGGGTTAACATTTCAAGCAAAGCTTTGTCTTTTGTCAATAGAATTGTAGGAAAGTTGGACATACGAATTATAATTTCTTGACTAGAGGTATCTATAAAGGAGGTGGCGGTGGATTTCGATTGAAAATACCCTTAGCAGTGTTGGATGTCGTAAACTTAGTACAGATTTCTTAATTAGAAGTCAATTTACTTAGATCGAACATTCTAATCATTAAGAGTGGCATTTCATTGGAAATGCACATAGAGAGAGTTCAATAGGAACGTCAGGATCTCGTTCTTACATGAAAACTAACAACAATTTTGGAAGAATTCATTTTTGCTTATGATGTAGAAGTATCGAGAGAAGAAGAAGACATACCTGTAGGTAAAATACTCAGCTTTGCTGATGATACGGCAATACTATATGAAGGGCTGATATGATGTAACGAGAATGATTGAGAATAACTTTTATAAAATCATTAATTTTTTCAGCACTAGAAAATCAACCGTAACTTTAAAAAAAACGCATGTTCTACCCTTAACATCATACGCAAGACATTTACCGGATTAAAGATTTGTTACATATAAAATTAAATTCCGCATATTGACAGAAAATTATATGCGTACTATCCTGCTTCAATTGAGCCGCACCTAATGTCTGGTATATTAGCGTGAGGTACGGCATCTCCAACGTATTTAAAGGGCATAGAAGTTTTACAGAACACTGTTTTAAAAACTATGTTCCGAAAACCAAAATTATATTCAATAAACGATTTATACAACGAAACAAAATCATTTGAATCAACTTTATTTTTTACATACATAATATCAGCCATTATCACAAACATTGCCAACATCGCCATGATACTCGATATTCGGACAAAAACTGTCCCTAAACCTCATAATATCATGATGAAGCGACCTTTTCTCTATTTGGCTCCAAAATTATGTGGACACGTACCCACAGACTTAAACCTTTATAAATTTAATGATCAAAATGGATACGTTCATTAGGAAGACAACATATTATTGAATTTCTATGAAATTTTTTCTTAAAGGTTATCATCCTCTACATATACGACACATCTCTAATATAAGTTTTACTTTAAGTTTCTTTTAACTGTTTTGTTTTGATCTTGTAACACATTCCAACATTCAATTGATCCGTGTACAGGTGTTATTTTTCTTATATAATGGAGTGAATAAATGTCTACTACTACTACTGCATTTTTGAGCCTCTTATGATTACGTCAGTTTAAATCCCAAATAAAGTACGAAAATGAATCTCACATGTTCCTTAGACTCAAATGACCAATTTCCCTGCCAATTTCAGGTGACTGATAAAAAATCACATAAAATGGAAAGTCACCATACTTAAATAAGACGAAATTGGTTGCACTTTAGATCCCCTATCACGTCCTGGAAAAAAACGGCAAGTTACCAGTACTGTCGCATATTCTATTTATTATATATTTTGAGGAAAACTTTCTATGCAAAAAATTGGAAATGGTAAGTTGTTGAATTGTAACGTTTGTGCTCCTGTTCTAATTATTTGTCATGTTTCACAATACCAAGTTCTTAGTGCTAAGTAGCACCTGCTACTGTTAGTATATGACAAATTTTAAATGATGTTCATAGAAGCAATGATAAGAAAATTGATAGAAAAATACGACAATGAAATCAATTTAACAGCAGATGCTAGAATAAGATAAAGCAAATTAAATCCCGACGCATCCTACCAGTTTGATCCCCAAATGATATAGTCCAAATCACCGGAAATCTACGTGGACAGGGGTCGTCGATTATTTATTCTAAACAAAGACGGAAGCGCAGATCAGGGTCCCAGGAGGGGCCGAAGGGGCACAAATCTCACTTAGGCAACCGGGATAACAATGATGGATGGTCTCACGCCTGCAATAACGCCGGCCACTGGACGGTCTTAGTGGAAAAGAGCACCCTGGGTGGGTCATGTACATAAACAGAATTTGGATTGATCGAGCTTTTATTACGGAAGTGCCGAATTTTCTCAGTTTAGCGGATACTTGATTACCTTAGAATAAAAGCACCCTTAATAGAACAAGGCTAATAAGGCTATCAAATGAACAACAATCAGAAATTTTGATGGACGAAACAATTCTATATATGTATATGTCGCAGCCAACTAGAAAAACTAGCCGTTCAATAAACAGCCTAGCCTCTTTACCAAACAGCGCTGTTCAACTAGCGGCCTGAATGATGTTCAGCCATTTGATCAAACAGCTAGGCAACTGGCTTAAAGCGATAGCGTTTAACTACTTGCCTAGCCTGTTCATTTAAATTTAGTTCCACTTTCTGCCACCTTGTGCCGAAAACTTGTTGAATATGACGAACAGCATCAAGGTAAGTTTGTTAGAGATTCCTTCGTAATTATTCTTGGTTCTATTGTGATGTATGTAATAAATTAATTACCAAGGGTATATAATTAATGTGGTTTATATTTTATCATTGCAGGATCGCATAGGAAAGCTTGGACAGCAGAAAGAATTTTGGAGGTTATGAACGACATAAAAGAAGCTAAGGTGGCCATGAGTTCTGGACAGCGAAGGACGGCAATGGATTATTATTGGATGGGCAAATACGACATTATGACAACTGCAAATGAAGATTCTTTAATTTTTAAAAGACTCACGGCGACTGATCCCACAGTACGCATTTTACCTAGAGAACAGTATTTTGATATCTTGTTAGATGTACATAAATCCTGCGGTCATGGTGGGCGAGATAAAATTTTGTACGACATAAAGAACACATATTATATTCCTAAGAAAGCAGTAGAAATTTTTGTGTCTTTGTGTCCTATATGTGAAACTAAAACAAACGCACCAAGAACAGGTATTATGACGAAGCCAGTCGTCTCACGTGATTTTAATCTAAGAGGACAAGTCGACCTTATGGATTTTCAGTCCTGTCCCGATGGTGAGTTTAAGTGGCTTTTAAATTATCAAGATAATGCAACCAAATTTCTGAATCTACGTCCACTTAATACAAAAAGGGCTGCTGAGGTAGCTTTTGAGCTGATGAAGATTTTTTTGACATTTGGAGCTCCCTACATTTTAAAATCGAACAATGGCTGTGAATTCACTGCAAATGTAATAAAAGAATTAGTTACAATGTGGCCTGAGTGCAAAATTGTTCATGGGAATCCACGTCGTCCCCAACTCAAGGCAGTGTCGAGAGAAGCAACCAAGACATCGAAAATATGCTGCGAGCATGGATGCATGAAAACAAATCAACAAACTGGTCTGTGGGCTGTTTTTTTGTGCAATATTTCAAAAACAGTTCATTCCATTGAATAACTGGAAGATCTCCATATAAAGCTTTATTTGGAAGTGAACCTAAAGCGGGCTTAAATGGATCTCATATTCCACCATCTCTACTTTTAAGTATAGAAACAGAGGAGCAATTGGAAACTTTAAGAGAGCGAGAATCAGCTGAAGCTACACACAACAACGATGACAATTTGAAAACCGTAACGGAAAATATTGAAAATTTAGAATCAAACTTCACCTGTGCAGTTTGCCATAACAGTGCCACTGAAGCGCACAAATGTGAGTTTTGCAATAATGTTATACATGCAACATGCGGAATAATGTTGGTTAAAGAGGGTTCTGCTTCCAAATTGGTATGTTTTATGTGTAAAGTTGAACAGGATATAAATTTAGAGAGAGACCAAGCACACAAAGGACTTAAGCGTACAGCCGAAAAGATGATTGATGCTACCATTAAAAAAATGCCTAAGTTAGATATTGGTAATAGTGTTTTGGTAAGCATCCCCAAAGTGGATCACGGGCCTTTGGACATGAAAAATATTCAAGGTAAAATTGTTGACATGAGAAATGGCGTTCATAAAGTTGGAACTAAGTATGGTACAATTAAAAACTGGTTTTCTCGCCAAGACTTGCAGTACTCAAATACAGACTATGGCGATGAAATTTCAGAAAACCTTATTTCTTTAAGAGAGGCTGTGGCAAGTCAGTCACCTTTCGGTGGCCAGGGATTCCAAAAATGTATCTGTGAGCCTGCTGTTAATCAATGTCGCAATAATAGATGTGCCTGTTCCAAGCACAAAGTTCTTTGCGGGTCCAAATGCCATGGCAGCTTAACTTGTGTTTACAAATAATATTAATACTTGTGTACTTAAGTTACGTTATTTGATCTCATGATTTCCAAATAACAGTAATATGTTACATTTTAAATATAATAAATAAAGTATCCCTTATGTCAAATGTCTCATCTTTTTTTATTTCTGTTACATGGTCACCCTATCCTACGAATGGCATAAGCATTTTCCAGCTACTTTATTACCTAAATGCTGTAATAGCCGCTACGGCTGAACATCATTCAGGCCGCTAGTTGAACAGCGCTGTTTGGTAAAGAGGCTAGGCTGTTTATTGAACGGCTAATTAAGCTAGTTGGCTGCGACATATATATTAAATGCTATCAGGCCGGAAGCTACTCTAAAAAATGGTTCCTTCACCATTCTGAACCTTCATAATTTCACAAACCTGAGCCTACACAGATAGTTTAAATCACAAAAACATAGTTATACGGAAAGAACGGCTGATCAGCGTGAGAGAGAGAGAGACAGAGAGAGAGAAACAACACGAATGACATTTGCCTCTTTGTTTCTGTGCTCGACATACGCACAATATACGACATACGTTACGTCAGGTGTCACTTATCGTTACTGCTACTGCCCCTATTTATTTGTTTATATTTTAAAACGATTTTTCAAGTGTGTTTTTCTTAAGTACAGAAAAACAAATCAAACAGTATTAAATCGAGTAATCTCTTAAATAAAACGATACAACCCACTTTGTATCCATTTATTGCAAATAAGATATGATGCGTCACAATAAAAAAAAGATACAGAGTTATTCCTGACTCTAAAGTATCATCGTAAAGAAGTCAACAATAGGGAATATTTAACAAGTATGATTCATACATTTGACTTGTGTGTTCTCCTTAGGGTTAAAGAAAAATACTGAAAAGTGTTTGTTTCCCTATGCTAGGTAATATAGTTTATTATCACACAATATATGTCTGAATATTGCACATTCCTCAAAACAACCAATCAACACTTCGGTGCCTTTGAAGAGAGTATTTTGTTAACAATATAAGGACTGGCATATTTTGAATGTCTAATGATTCCGGCTTACCGCATTATGGTTTCAACACCTTGGACTAGAACTGAACAACTAAAATAGATGATGAAATGTGATGCGCAGTAGGAAATTACACAAATATGTAGGTCGATGTCCTTACAGCTTGGTTATTTGGCATTCGTGAAGTTGCTTTTGATAAGTTATTCACGAGTTTTTTCTGAAAAATAAAATTTTGGCATTAAAACATTGTACTAAATATGAGGGATATTATACTCAGCCCCTTTGGACGGAAGGAACAAGTATACATTAGAACTATACAAGGTATGTCCTCTTGCACAACATTTCTGATATCGAGCACGTATTGGATGTCCTGGTTTTAGCTCAGAGTGTCAGTGGGGCAAACATTTTGAGTGCTGCCTCCGGATCCCGTCCACCTTCATCGCTTGGTTACGGTAAATAAATAATAACATGCAGAAGTTACAATAGTGCAATATTCCATCACTTCTAACCGAAATTTGATCAAATACTAGAGATGCTTTTTCAATTTTTGCTTTTTTCTTAAAAATTCCCAGAAGAATGAAGAACAAATCTCACGGAGAAAATGGCTGGCGTGTGACTGACGACGCCGAATTTTGTAGTTCATGCAGTACTTTTATAGTACGTACTGAAGAAACAAAAAATAAAGATTTTCAAAAGCTTGACGTCATGAACAAACTATCTTGTTGGCCTTCTGACATTCGATTGCGTTATGGCTGAAACATCAAGATTTCTATTTTGCAGCTACTATATAACAGTACCTACTGCATATACAAAGGTCCAAGTCGATATGTTTATCTAATCATTCTCTAATTACGAAGTTATAATTTCAATTCCCTGGGCGCATCTTGCGCGAACTTTTCTTTTTGGTCTACTTGATGGTTTGTATATCCACATAATATACTAAGTGACATATAAATCCGAACACCCAGTTTAAATGATTTTATTTTAATAAAATTTTGTATAAGTACTTAATGAATCATAATAAGTAAATGATACAAATTTCAAAATGATTGCATTGCTTTAAAGCCCTTTGACCTTTAATAATGTGTGGATGCACCCTGATGTGCTATGCATTCTCCAACGCGCCTAGGCAAGCTTCTGATCAGGTGGTCAATGTCCTCCTGTGGTATCTCATTCCAGGCAACCACCAACTCCTCTCGAAGTGCTTCTAGAGTCTGAGGAGGACGTTGCAAATTGCCGATCTTCACGGTCTGTTGTTCTTCGGCGGCGTCCAGTGCCCCCTGCTCTTTGCGTACGGCCTTCTCGAAGCCATGCCTGTTGCCTGACAACACCTAACCACAGTGTCTACACTTCTTTGCACTCTAACTGCAATTGCCCGAAAAGAAAGTCCAGCTTCCCGAAGTCCCACCATACGGCCCCTATCAAACTCACTAAGTTGACGAAATCGTACAGGTCTCCGTACTCTAGGCATCGTAACCGATCGTAAAGGATGTCAAGAACCAAAATCCGCCAACGTTGATTCTTTACTGCGGCTGAAATATTCATTTTTAGAGCGTTAGTGAATTAAAAAAAAGCAGTATAAAAACCGGAATGTCCAACTGATAAGGCTGAAAATTTTTTCACTTGTTATTTGCAGTAAGATAAATACATTCACCAACTTTTATTAAAATAAAACCATTTAAACTGAATGTTCGGATTTATATGTCACTTAGTATATATCATCTTAAATTGCTGTGAGACGCGTTCATCAGCAAAATTCCCATACGTACACCGAAACGGCCAGTGACAGCCTTAAATTGAACTAGCTTTCTGTCCAAGCTAAGTCTATTTTCCATCATAAGTCAGCTTAATGACAGTGCGAAACGACCAACTCCCATTGTTCCCACAGTGACACTCTATCCATCTGCATCTCTTATCTAGGATCAATTCGCGACCAACCTGGTTGACCGACGCACCTATTGTCCACCCCATTGTCCACTACATCGTTGGCGAGGCGGGCGGCGGGGAGCTGCAAGCGTGTGGGCCACCGCAGTTGTGAAAACACCCCATAGAGCATCGTCCATTTGTCGGTATAAGCCAAGAGATAGTATTAACCGCAATTTATTGTTAAGCTCTTTGGAATTATGTCCATGATTTCACAGTGCTTTTTGAACAGGTCTCAATCCTACTTATTTATTGAAGAATTCAATTTAGCAAGCTGAAACTCGGAGTGATGAATTTGGTGCATGCAACCACGGACAGCTGTTTCGTGCTATTTGGCAACTGCTCAGTATGGTCGAGCCTTGGTCTTGGTGGACAACGAACAAAGGCTGAACAACTCTACTCTATTCAGAGTGTAAGGTTTATCCTAGTGAGCCAGCACGAAGTGCTATCTTTTACCAGAATTGACAACTGCGAAAGTGAAAACAGCCTGTTAGAATTGTAAATATAGTATTCGGTATTCATCCCATCTAACTAATTGTTGAGCTGCCAAAAGAACGGAAGCGACTATATGGAAAAACAAAAGTATAAATATGCTGACTCAAATGCATCAAAACGCAATAGTTTATTGCTAGTAGTTTTATCAGCTTTCCGCTTTTATTCTTGGAGCAAACCTTCTTCCAAAAAATCATTTCATGCGAAAGTTCTGTATTATTTATCACAGATATACTGAGATCAACGTGACCTTTAATTAGCAAATTGATAAAAAATGTTATTGCAGCAGCGGTGGCGTAGTGGTAGACGTTTCGCTGCGCGGGTTTGAATCCCGTCCCAATTTTTCTCTTGGCTATGGACGTTGTGATTGTTCGTAGGTGATAGACGGTCTCTGATTGCCGAACGCGGAGGTACCACCTGGCGGATCTCGTAGACGGGGCCAGAATGTGTGCATGCTGCATGCTCACGTGTTTCATGGCTAGAGTGCGTGTGGCGTCCGCCCTTTTCCCTTGTATCCAGCTATAGCCTCACGGTACCCCATAGTTGTTTAGGCTTTAGGCCTTCGTGGCAGTTGGAGCATAAAAATATATACTGTATATTGAACAGTAGGCTAGGAAAACTAGGAAAATACTTTTCGTGGACTCCGTTCGTTGTTTACAGATATAGAAAAAATGGTGTCAAGCAGGTCGACTCTGCACCTCGTACTCAGCCCCTCTGAGAGAAAAGCATCCATGACAAAAATCAAATGGATCAAGTTAGTCAAACAGGCTCATACAATTGAAACTTGCTTGCATATTTGGTATGTACCATTTTAGTGCTCTTAAGGATTTGGCCTCCTGAGAAAATATGCTACCACAAGCTCATTAAAAAGTTTTGGAGGCACAAGGTTACCTCTCGCTGATGGATTGACCTTCCCCCTGAGAAAAATTCTTGCGGACGCACATGATCGAATCTATGATTATATCTCGCATGGAAGGCAATCGACGGTCCACACAGCAGTCGAGCAGCGACGCCCGACTGGGATGCACATGCATCTGCCGTACCGCAAAGCACGAATTATTGACACACAATGGTTGGAAATATTTTTCCATCACTTTAAGTTATAAGGTTAAATGTAGAGGGAAATATGTTTAATAAATGTGTAGAACTACCGCGGGTATGATTATACCGACATCAAAAAAATTGAGATAAGCCACCCTCAACCCTCCATCGGTACCTCCATTCAGCCCTGAGTCTGAAGAAACAAAAGATTGCATCAAT